CCAAGTCGCACATTGGCGATGCTGCCGGCAACCATTTGTTCAACCTCCTTCGGCAAAGCCGGAATGCGCTTCTCTCGCTCATCAACGCCGTGCTCCGAGCGACGCCGATCGCCGTCCTATTCCTCGTGAGCTCGTCGATCGTGAGTTACCATTCCAACGCGTCGAGCTTTGTGTCCCAAGCCGGCTACCTTGCACTTGCGTTTCTGAGCGGCGTCGCGTGCCATGTCTTGGTGACGCTACCGCTGCTCCTCTTCCTCTTTACGCGCATCAACCCGTACAACTACCTTAGGCAACTCTTCCCGGCGTATGTCTTTGCGTTTGGGTGCTCGTCGTCCATGGCGACACTGCCGGTCGCCATGACGGTCATCCACCAGACGCGCCAAGTCTCGCCGGCCTTTGGCCAGCTCATCATGTGCCTGGGCACGCCTGTCAACACGAACGCGGCGGGTTTGTACTACCCGCTCATGACCATGTTTCTTGCGATTGCGTCGGGCAACTCGCTTGGGACGCCGCAGCTCGTAGTCCTCTTCCTCGTCTCGCTCTTGGGCTCGATGGGCACGGCGCCCGTCCCGAACGCCGGCCTTGTCATGCTCATGACGGTCTGGAAGACGGTGCTGCCAAACGAGACGCTGCCTCATGCGTTTGTCTACATCGTCGCGATCGACTTTCTCTTTGATCGCATTTGCACCATGACCAACATCAACGGCAACATGGTCGCCACCCGGATCCTCGCCGCGCAGTTTGACGATGGCCGTGGCTCGACCGAAGATGCCGATCCCGAACCCCATGTGATCCAAGTCGGCGCCTAGTCGTGCGCAATGGTGTGGACGGAATGCAACGTCTACTTGTTGTTTAGTGTCGTATGTGATGGTGTGCAGCGATAGAATGAAATCGATTTTGTGTGTATTTTTTGCAGTTGCCTTGGGTGGGGGTAGGGTTCACGACGCAACAATAGCCCACGGAAATGGACGACTTGTGGGCGACACACTCAATCGCGGATCAGTCATGACAAGAAATGACCTTGTCCGACTCTAGTCAGCTTCGTCAGTACTGTATCCGGTCAACCCCGTCGATTTATCACGTTGTCGAGTCTCCGCAAGCGTACCGATATACATAGAGCAGCGTGGTAGGATCAGCGGTACGCAAATGTGCAAGATTGATGTATGCGTACCCACAGGCCAGACGACGTACAGTATTCCAAGTGTATGTGGCCTGCTTGGTACACGTTTGATTCGGCATGCTAGAGCAGGTTTGATGTGAGACCTGGTGGTCGCGACAAGGCGAGCGAGAGCGGGGACGGCTACCCCCCGACGAGCATGCAAGAGACTGGCACGCGATGCTT